AAACTTGATTTCCATTCGACTAGCATTCTTATCAACCAGAGTACGTAAGGCAAAGAGTCTGAATCTAATCAACTTGTTCCGTGCCGCAACATCCACGTTATCATTTGCAGATAAAGATAAAATTTGAATGAGTTTGCTATGGACCTGGAGGTATTGGCTCAAGCAGCCAATGGTTTTGCTTTTCAAGGTACTTTTCAAGCTATCATTGATTCCAAAAATTATAATGCATGTATTGTTAGTGATCATATGTAACTCAACCATCTACATCATTTGTCTTTGTGAGGGGTCTATATGTAATGTTTGTCAGTGCCATGACTGTAATTCCATACTGTTTCAAGAGTCCAGGGGTGTTCTTTTTCATGGTAGTGGTGCAGGGTGGGTCCACATATTGAATTATATCATTATAACAGTCATATTTTGAGTTTGCAGGGTTTAGGATGGCTGAACATTTGAGGATTGAACTTGTAAATTAAGGAGGGGGAGATTTTCTCTTTTTGCTAGTTTCTGTGATTAACTCTCTGTGCTCCTATACCACGTTAGCTTAGTTTACTTGGAATCTCGAATATTAACTTGCATTTTAGATGAATATGAATTATGAAGTATTAAATAATCTTTCTCAGTTAGTTTCACAAAAATTTCAGTAACTGTTTATTTCACGTCTTTGTTGATATGATATACCTTATCGATTCATGACTTTTCTCGAAGTTACAGAAAATTCTTACTTTTGCTGGGTTACATTCATTTTGTCATTTAGGTATTTGATTATCAAAAGAGTTAGCAGTCTTTACTGATTCGTTGGCAGAAGAGCATCTTAAAGTGGACCTCCCCTTCCCTGCGCGCTCAAATTAATAGAATAAACTTGAGGTATGATTTAAAAGATTCAAACTATGACAAATAATGTTTTGAAACTTTGTGTCATTTGTCTAATGATATATAATCTTGTGCATGATCTAAGAAGCTCAACTTTATTTGCTTTATGAGCTTACTATTTTGGTGATTAAATATGTTGATTTTATAAAAACTTATCATAGTTTATGTATGGCCTAGGGCCTTAATGTTCACAAGTCGGGATGCAATCGATTAATTGGACTCTCCACATTAATTAGGGAAAAATTCATAATTCAGGTATATTTTTTACACCAATTCACAAATCAAGTGCAAAGTTTAAAAATTCAAAATTCAGGTATTTGTATAATTAGTTAAAAATATTTATTAATTAAATATAACAAAGTCACAGTTACACGATTAATGATCATAGATTCATAATTATTAGTTACGAATTTATTTACTGGTCGCATATTATCGAATTAATTAATTACAGATTATTTTGAAGTCACAAATCTAAAATTTTGTAGGTCACAGATTATTTTTTAGTCACAGATCAGCAAATTTTAAAGTCATAGACCAAATGTTAAGGTCACAGATTATTTTTTAGTCACAGACTATGAAATTTTAAGGTCACATACCATCGCCACCACACCAAAAAAAAAAAAAAAAAAACACCCACAATCAACCCAAACCATCAACTTGCATCACCACAACCATCGTCGCTGCACACCACGTCCCGTTCTGTCCACAGTGCACCAACACCGTTAGCAAATAACACCACCACCCACATCGCACCAACAAAACCGCACACATACCACAGATTGGCCACCTCCACTACCTGCATCAACGACCATCACCACCACCCACATCTCACCAACACAGCCAGAACCACCACCAAACACTGACCACAACCACTGTCGCTACTATCAACACCGTAGCCACTATCAACACCGTCGCTGTCCTACCTTGATCCATCGCACCATCACCACACCGTCACCCCCACAAACCTCGCCAACACCACCAATATCCATGCTGCACAGCCCAAATCACCACTGCAACACGACCACCATCGCTGCTATCGCCACCACCGCTATCATACTTATATCCATCGCACCATCGCCCCCACAAACCTGACCAACACCACCAATATCCATGCCGCACAGAGAAGCCAGCAGCACCGACGTGCGATACCCCACGCCACACTATCACCCTACATCACCAACACCCCCCACATCAACGCTCAACAGAGAAGACGTTATAGCAGATCCGGGGACGCGAGAATCACTTTGAGCGCCATCATGTAACAGTGCTCATACCTGCACATCTCCACACAGCAGCGATGACGCGAGAAGACGTTCCTGGTCTCTTGCAGACGCGCATGTCTTCTTGCAGTAGCGCCGGTCTCACATCGGAACCGGCACCAGTCTTCACAACGTCGTCGCTACAGTGGCGACGTCTCTGTCGGTGAGAATCTCCAATGGTTATTTGTGATAGAGAGCAGGGAAAATAATTAGGGGAGTCTGGAGAGACGGGTGGTGGGGGAGAGAGAAGGTTGGGCAAATGAATTAGGGTTTTTATGTTTGGTACCTGATTTATACATAAGGAAATTTCATCCGTGATGTTTGAATTCTAATCTCTAAACACCTGGATTTTCGTAATTTCCTCCATTAATTAATGTATGGTCCAATTAATGAGGTATGTTGTTCTTTAGTTGGAGAGTTCAGTCCAACTTAAACTCATTAATAAATGGAAAGTCCATTGGACTTTCCAATATTTTATTCAAAATTTGCTTTCTTTTTAATTTATTAATTATATTTTAAATTAAAAAAGCATTATTTGCATTGGACTCTACATAATCCCAAGTTAATGTAATGTCCAAGGAAGCGGAGAGCTCAACAAACTCTTCTTGGTTTCTCCATCTGTTGCCTGAGAGTCCTACATTTGACTCTCCAAAAGGAGAGTCCACTATTTTATTTTATTTTATTTTTAACTTTTGATTTTGTTTTTAATTTTCTTCACTAATAAATGGACTCTGCCTGATAGCATCTTTAAGAGATTCTTTAAATACATGATGCTTTCTATTTTTGAGGGAATTTTTAAAAATAAGCTCCAAGAGATTCTGTTTTAACTTTATAAAATAAAAAGTTGAAGAGTTAAACTCATTCTATCTCAATTTATAATGATTGCATATATTTCAATATTCTACTTATTAAATTATTCTAATCATTTTTGAATTAATTGGTCATTTAATATGTTAAATAAACAATGAGGAGGAATTAATAAATGTTTTTTTGGGGGAAAAAAATGAAGAGTCAAAATAGAAAACACTATTAGAGTGTGTGAAAATACATAAAAATGATAAAATTCCTTTATAAAATAGTCTCTTGGAGACACTTTAAACTTTTGTTCTTTTTCAAAATTTTGCTTTTGTTTCTATATTTTAAAAATTGACACACATTAACAGCTATGTTCTAATTAAAACATGCTAGAAATTTAGTAGTTTGAAGTTTATTTAACAGTCTATTTGTTCTAATAACATAAATCTACATAAATTTCTCAACCCCCGCCTGAAAACTAATGAGTTATTCTAACATATATCAACATTAAGCTCCTGTTTGATTCCATTTAATTTACTTTACTTTTAATCTATTTCTTATATTCATTTTCAATTATACATTCACGCAATAAAATATTCTATACGTAAACCTAAAACTTTTCATTATTTTTAATGACTCATTCTCCAAAAAATACTATTCAAAACATAGTTTTTTTTTTGAAATAAAGTCCTATTTATTTTACTAACAAATTATGATTTGTGAACGTGGGCATAATCAAATGAGTAGCAACCAAGAAGTTGCTAAATATCCTAGAAATTAATTAGTGTATCCATATTCCTACATTCTGGTTGGTTGCATGTAAAAATCTATTTTACATGGACATTATACATCAACAAACTGCTGAATATTAGCCAACTAATACAAGAAAATAGGACTCAGTTGGACTCCGTTGTAACATGCAGTAATAAAACGAAAGTAAAGCTACTGACCAAGTAAAACTATAAAAAATCAGCTAACAAATTCCTAATCACTCAGATTGAAAACTATATTGAACTGACACCTAATGCTTAAGAGAAAACTCCAAAGACCCATTGGGAAAATATTCCAGGCCACAATGAATCAAGTAGCCAAATTTGAGTATGAATCACAAGGTGGAGCTTGGAAAAATGTGCCGAGGCTGCTCATATTATAGAGTTTCTATTAATTTCCTTATTTACTTAATCATTTAACATTCTATCATAATTGCATGTTCTAATGTATCTAAAACATTCCATTTGAGTGCAATTTCTTGCTATTGTTTCTATAAAATGAGGATCCTGATGAAATTTATGGTCTTATTCTTTGGCATGTTCGATTTACAGGGCTATTGAAAGTGGTTTTTCTTCTGCTAAGGGGCCCATGTATACTTTTGATCCTTTGGATCTGGTCCGCAATTGCATCAAAGACCTGCAACCCTATTTAGATTCATAGTGCAGATTAGCTCAATTAGGTGAGTAATTGCACCGAACTGGCGAACCACGTATACATTCTTGCGTAGATCTTCTTGGTTTCTGTTTATGTTCTTGTGTGAATGATTCTCTGATCTTGGAAGCCTTATGTGGGCTTGAATTATAACAACCACCTTGTCATAAGGTTTTTTCCTTTTTAATCTTTCAATTTACAATCCATTCTTAAGGTTTCTCCTTCCTTTTTATTTCTGTGTATGACCTTATTCATAAGATTTTTCTTTTTATCTTTATCGATTGGTTCATGACCTTACTCTTGAGGTTTGCCTCTTTTTATAAACTGATTTACAGCCTGTTTCTTAAGGTTTTTAATTTCATTTTATATTCCAGGTTTATATTTCATCTTTTTAATATCAACTGGTTCTTGACCTTTCTTGAGATTTCTTTACCCACTTGTTCTAAGTGTTTCTTTTAGTTGCCGCAATGAAGTTTTTTCCATTCCTTTTACATTCGGTTAAAGCAAATCAGGGGAAAATTAAGTTAAACATCGACTGAATGTAGCGAAAGAAATCATGCAACTATAAAGATGATTTGACTTTTGGCTTTTGTGATTCGTCTGGATATTGCACAAATCGGAATTACGAACATCATCGACGAGCGATAATTTGTGGAAGCGATGGCGATCCATTAATTAAATTTTCCACAGTCCAAACGAATATCTCCATTCGTCCCAGTCTTCCCATTTCGTAATGGCCTCGAGAAAGGCATTTTTATATTATAATTTGTTTTACTTATTTAAAAATACAATGGGTAAATCAGTCTTTTTACTCTATCTTAAATAAAATTTTGAAGAGAAATCATAATTAAGAACAATTTATGTTAATTTGAGAATAAAAATACGAAAAAAAAAGTTTGTGATATAAATATGATAATATATAAAGGTTATGAACTTTCATGCAATTAAAACGTAGTTGTTTTTGAAAGGCTGTTGTGTGAATATATTTAACCTCGTAGAAAAGATTGCTTTTCCTACTTTTTTATCCCCTCGTTTGATTATTAGCTTCAACAATAATAGTCATTGCCAGCTAGTATTCTACACATCAGTCCACTTGATTTTTTTACATAGATGAAAAAAAGGGGGTTTATGGATAAGAATTTTGAAATTCAGTAAAATTGCTAATGTTAATTGATTTTACTGTGGCCAACTAAGGAAAAATGGAACTTTAGTAGCTCCCAAGTTTCCTCAATTGACATGAGAAAATATATGGCAATCCAACGACTCTGTGTTGTTCACTGAGAGGTGTGAGAATTTGTTCAACACAAATTTGTATTTTTGTTCTTTGGTAAATATTTTGGTAGGAGCAGAGTAATTGTCTTATACTTGAGAGTGAATTATCTTAGAAGTTTTATTTAGAGAGACTTAAATCTATGGGAATCAAACGGGACCTTACAATTTATAATAACAAACGGGGCCTTACAATTAATAGTTACCATAAAGCTTGCAAGTTGGAGTGTTTAGCACGTGACTATCACGCGTTATTTTTCAGCTCGATTATTGACTCAAGTCGGTTGTAAACTTTGTCACCTAGCATCGCTTGGTCCCCATTTTTAAAAATGAAAATTTATATAGAGAGAGACTTAAATCTATGGGAATCAAACGGGGCTTTGCAATTAATAGTTACCATAAAGCTTGCAAGTTGGAGTATTTAGTATGCGACTCTCACACGTTATTTTTCAGCTCGATTATTGACTCAAGTCGGTTGTAAACTTTGTCACCTAGCATCGCTTGGTCCCCATTTTTAAAAATGAAAATTTATATAGAGAGAGACTTAAATCTATGGGAATCAAACGGGGCTTTGCAATTAATAGTTACCATAAAGCTTGCAAGTTGGAGTATTTAGTATGCGACTCTCACACGTTATTTTTCAGCTCGATTATTGACTCGAGTCGGTTGTAAACTTTGTCACCTAGCACCG